TTATATCTTTAATTAATCGATAATATAATAATTAATAGCTTACAAGTGTTAACGTTAGATACTATTACTTAATTCTGCTTACGCCTTCTTAAAACTTACGTGTTTATGTATGTACGTATGCTTATTATTCTTTTCACCTTCTTACACATTATTCTTTGTTATTTCCTTTTTTCGTATCTTTCTTTCTTTCTTTCTTTCTCTCTCTCTCTTTCTTTCTTTCTCTCTCTCTCTCTCTCACTATCACTCGTTTATATTTTTGCTTTTAGTATAATGTTTATTATCGCGTTTCGTCTTGTTTCGTGTGCTCGTTTTCAACGCTTCGGCCCAGTCGCGCCAAAAAAATTTTTAATTAACGGCGAGTCTCTCGATCGACCTTTAGTTCAATTTATTTTTCTTCTTAATTAAATTTACATATAGGGATCTCTGAATTTTCCGCCACCAACCGAGGAAATACAAGCGTTCCTTTGCGCCGTTCGATGTCTCTCTCTCTCTCTCTCTCTCTCTCATCTCTCTTTAGTTCTAACTCTTTCTTTTTTTATCGTCTCTTTCTCTCGTCCATTCGTACATAGATGAGCATGTATATGTATTTGTGTATTATTTGTGTCGGTGTAGTAGACGTCGCGCATCCGTAAAATCGTCGAGAGAGTCCGATCGTTGCTTTTCCATGATTTTCCTTCGCTTTTTTTTTCCCTTTCTCGTGGCGTATACACTACGCGAACTTTTCTACGTCCTTTTTCCGTAACTCTCGATCATCGAAGGACGACAACTCGTCGATAAAATTGACAGCGTCGATCGGATGACAAAGAGTTTACGGTCCCCTTCTCTCACTCTCTCTCTCTCACTCTCTCTCTTTCTCTCTTTCTTTCTCTCTCTTCTCTCCCTCTCCCTTCGACGACTCTTCGAAAGGGAAGACTCGAATGATATCGTCTCAGCGAAAGGCTTTTTCTTTCTGTCGTTCTTTCTTTCTTTCTTTCTTTCTTTCCTTGTTATTCGTTTTGTACCTTTTCTCTCTTTCTCTCTTCATTTTAAGTTTTTTTTGTATGTTTCCGTCTCTTAGAGTTTTTCCTCTTTTTTCCTTTCATTATTTTTGAAATTTTCACGTTTTTCACAAATAATTTCTCTGGATTCTCGATCGATGGACGAGCCCACCTCGAAGAATCTCGCGAAAAAGATTTAAGCCCGTTATTTTCAGATCGAATGATTGTTATTATTATTATTTTGTTTGTTTGTTTGTTTTCTGTTGTTTCTTCGATTGAGTCAAGCCGATCTTAAGGTTTTAAGGTCTGTCATTTAAATATTATCAGGACAAAGAGATTTTTCTTTTTTTATTATTTATTGGAATTTTTTTCTAATATCATTATGGCTGTGTTTTAATTTAATTTTGTTAATATTAATCTGTAATTCTTTTAGCTCTAAAGGTTTAAGGAAAGTAACGATTCGGTTTAGGTTAAATGTTATTATCATTTATGTTTGTTTGTTTCCCTTTCTTTTTTCTTTTCATTAACGAGTTCGAACCACGAAAAATTATATTTTCTTTTTTATTATTCATATTATTTAAAGAGATTGTTATTGAAGAAATTATATAATAAGAGAAAATTTTATGATTGTCACAAGGTTTCATCGAGTATATATTAGTTGAATGAAAAAAGCGATCTGTCGATCGTGTCAGTGTGTATGTGTGTATACGTGTATCGTGGTATTCGACAAGCCGTTAGGAATAATATTTGAAGATTATAATAGGGGTTAATGGTTAAGTATATTTTTGTGTTCTTTGTCCTGAAAACTATTTAGCAGAATAAATATTGATACCGAAATTTTTTAAAGTCAAGTTCTTATCGATGATAAGATACTCAAGGATAATCATATATGGACGATTATCGACGTGAAAGTGCAAAGCAGCTCGAATTGTTACGAAATCATTTGAAAAGTAAAATAAAATATTGAATTTAAAAATGTTTTTCCAATTGAATATATCACATAATAAGATAATTGTAATTATTACACGCGAATAATTTGTTCTGATGATTTCATTTTCATATCTTTTAAGACGATTTTTTCAACGAGGTTCGAGTATCGTAGAAAGACGAGTGCAACGTAGAAGCATTTTTAAACGTAATCCTTGTACAACGAATAATTTGTTTTCTCAAATACGCTGGCAGAGCATCTGTTAAATAGGACAACAGAAAAAGGAACAAGGAAGCTGTCGCAATAATATGCGAAAACCATGGACATGTTTTATTATTATTTTTGTTTAAAATTTTGTTTTTTTTGTTGAAACTAACGGAACGTATCGAGCCACCCTTGATTTATGAGAGATCGAAATAGATAATCGATCGAGATTTCAAACAACATTCATTTCTGAAAATCAAGCGATAATACTACCACTCACTATTCTTCACATTCATCATAAATAGTTAGACCAAAATCTTAGGCCAACGCCGAGAAAATAAGTAGCCACTTAGTTTAGGCCAAAGTTGAGTATTTACAAATCGAAATTTTCGTTTTTACCCCCATTTTTAATTCGATCTTTTCTAAATCCTCTTTCATCATTAACGTATACTTTTTTGTTCCTTCTTTACATTTGACACTAATACAAGCTTCTTTTTGTTCGTGATCTGTGATCTCTAAATCTTTTGGGTGGAATCTCGATGACATCTTCGTCGGTTTCGGTGTGACCAAATATTTGCCGACTTCGCATAAAGGTAGGCCGGGTTGGCAGTCGATAATAACATATATGGAACTTTCGAAAACTAGGAATCATTTTTCCTTTTTTTTTTTTTCAGCCGGCACTTTCGTAGGGATTCGGGACGTAAGAAATATATATATAAACGCAACAAAAATAGAAATAATACAACAAATAACATTTTTGTGTGATCGACAAAACAAATTAAATTCAAATTATATTAAATTTTCTTTTTTCTTCATTTTATTATCGTGAATAATAAATAAAATAATCAATAAATCGATCGTCGATTAATTAAAAAATATTGATATGTGACTAGGTTAAGACTCACCGCTTGCAAAAAGTGTGTATGTGTACTGCACGTCACATGCTACCGGTATAATTTTCTCAATGGTAATAGTACTAATATAATAATAATAATAATAATAATAATAATAATAATAATAATAATAATATAATAATAATAATGCAATAACTAGACGTGTAGTTTAAAAAAAAAAACATAGCATAATATTGGAATTAGGGATGTACAATTTTTTGAAAGAAGCGTTGAAGATATAAAGATAGAATAAGCAATCGAGTTCAAGAAACAAAATCATTAAGAACCGTTGGCATGGAGTCTAACTAACGGGTTTAATTTTAAATTAACTAAATCGACCGCGATATTGAGGATAATGATAATAATAATAATAATAGTAATAATAATAATAATAATAATAATAATAATAATAATAATAATAATAATATTATTATAATACTTATTATTATAATCGTGATCTTAATAAAATCCTCACGTACATTGACTGATAAAGGAAAATAATAATAATAATAATCGCACTGCGTGTTTGTATGGGTGATGATAATGAAGACAATAATAATAATAATAATAATAATAATAATAATAATAATAATAATAATGGTGCACGTGATAGCGACAGTAATAAAGATATAGGGAAATAAGTGGTGAGGAGGGGCGGGAAATGTACTTATATTATATCAGGACTCGCTACTACCCGAAATATTTTTAATATTAACGTTGTACCGTATCTACAGGTTTTTCTTTAGCGAAAAAAGGCAGCGACGAGAACGCAGAAAAGACGTTATTCGCATTTTTGAACGCAGCCTATGCTACGAACATATAAAGGTCCGCGACAAGTTGAGACCCTTTTTTCGTCGTGCATTATCCTCACTTTTTAAACGCTAACAGTCACGCCAGCATTCCTTTCTCGAATTAAAAATCTATTACTTCATATGCATGTGTATGTGTATGAATATACATATACATATATATCTTTATCTTCGTATATGCATATATATACCTTATATAAGTGTTCAATATAACTCTACTATTATATTTATATATACTTTTAGCACGCACCGGCATTATTAAAATCATTTAATTAATTAATTAATTATCTTTAGTATCATATCTATATTTAAGACAACATCGCCGGCACACGCTCGTTTCTTCCACGTTAGATAGCTCCTCTCTTTCTCTTTCTTTCTTTATTTTTGTTCTTAATACTCGTACTCTCGTTATCGCGACTAGCCTAATCTGATTATAATATATACCATATATATATATATATATATATATTTATATGTATTAAATTATTATCGGGATAAAATATCGTGCATCATTCGATCGATTGCAAGAAGCACGATAAACGAAGAAGTAAATTTCTTAGAAGATTTAATTTTCTTGTTTTTATTCGTTTTTTTTTTTTTTAGGAAAACTTTGTCATCAGCTGACCAAGCATTTTCACGTCGATTTAATTGTCGCCGCTGTGGACGATTGTTGATAAATTAAATTCAATTTGGTCTTGTGCGTTGGCGAAGAAACATCGAAAGATCGTCATCGTTGATCCTTAAGATCAACTAGAACTTACGAGATCTTCGCGAACGACGAGCTTAAAAGGATAACGTCGTTGATCTCACGCACGTGCGATCATCTTTCTTTTGATACTTTTTGTCTTTGGTTTTTCTTTATTTTCATCTTTTTAATTTAGGAGAAAGATTTCACCGTAACGTTTATTCACGTACGTCAAAGTAAAGTATAGTAGTACGTTCTAGTTCCCAAAATAAGCAACCTTTTACCCATTATATTAGCCCTTTTCGATAATGCATCGTGAACGGGCATGCATTCACGGGGACGACGAAGATAGCATAAAATTTCGAAACAACAAAAATGTTCTCCGTCCATCGACATTTACATCGAGATAAAGATTTTTCTTTCATTTTTTGAGGTATTTTTTCCCGAGGATCGCGTAAAAAGCGTGCACCACGTGGATCGACATGTTTTGGACCACAGTTTCTTTTTTTCTTACTAGTGTTTTATTATTAATCTTTTTCTTTTATTTTTCTTCTTGGTTTTTAATTAACACCGTTGATACGATTTAGGACGAAGGGCAACAGGAGCCATCTGTCGTGAATCGTTTCATGGTGAATCGTCGATGGATCCTCTTCCGGTATTTCTCGAAAAGCAGAAGACGATCCATCGAGTTGTTCGAGATCACCGAGAGATACTCGTCCACGTGCACCGCGCATTTATCGATCCTCGATAGTATTGGCTTTTTTTTTTTATTTTATTTTATTTATTTTATTTATTTATTTATTTTTCTTTTTTTAATAATGGCGAGAATAACTCACCATTCCCCGTGAATACAGTCCCGTCCTCGAAGGCTTTTCTTTTATTTCCTATTCGTCGCATCGATTTCGAATGAATCAGAGACTTAAAAGTTAGGCGGGTAATAATAATGCATTATTCGTTTCTTTTTATCTCCCTTTTTTACATTAACAAACAGACCCTACGAAAGAAAGTCTCGAGCACGATGAAAAATTCATAATTGAACTCGTGCTCGATCGTTGACTCGCGGTTTCTCGTCATTCGTCGAGTAAATCGACTAGTGTACTCTCTTTCTTTATTTTTCTTTTATACGTCTTTCGTTCATATTCGTTTATAATCTCTCCTAACAATTTCCCTCGTACGATCTTACGATATATCGCGATTAGATCACAGCCTGATCCTTCGTCGGTTAGAATCTCGTCCGTGTACACGCATCTTTTTCGTTATTATTAGTTTTTTATTTATTTATATTTTTTTCCCCCTGATTTCGACGGATTTAACGACGCTCATCTTCTTCTTTCCTTTTCTCAGAACAACGCGTCGTTCTAATTCCTCGCCATTTCAGCTTCGTTTTGCGATATGTTATTTTAGGATACCTGAACGTGTACGTGCGAGGGAGTCGAGTGTCCCTCGAACGGCGACGATGACGACAACGCTGTTGCTGATGGTGGTGGTGGTGATGGTGGTGATGGTGATGATGGTGGCGAACCTTTCCTCTTCATCTCAGCCGTTTTTAATTCTTCTTTTTCTTTGACTTCTTTTGATTACTGGGAAACTTCTAGCGTCGGTGGCCCCGAGCACCACGAAGAGCAAGAGCCACGCGACCTCCTGATTCATTCAAGCTGCTCCAGGAAGTTTGGACTCTTGAAGTATTCTGGTACAGGATCGTCCAGCCTCGAGATCACCTTGTAAATGGATTTCTTCCAGCTTTGTTCAGAATCTTTACCACCCTGAATCGCTTTGAAGAATTCCTTTAACGTCTGTTCGACCACGAACCTAAAATTACTCGGCACCTGAAAACATTCCAAATACTTAGTAAGTTCTTTTCGTTTCAATCCAATCGAGGTTTTACGTTAAATTCAATGAAATAGAAAAATATAACTGAAAAATAAGCCGCGCGAAAAATACATGCTTGGGATTGCATCATATTCGATTTCTAATCAATATCTTAACTATGATATATTTGTATTTTTCATCAAATACTTCACAGTATTTGGAGAGAATCGATTTGATTACCTAAGGTGAAAAACTTTTACTTTGTTATTCATAATTCATTTTATTTTTTTATTTTTTGTTTAATAGCCGAAAGAATACCGATTGCTTTATCGGACCGAAGTCTAGGATGAAAGTTAATGTTATTTCGCGAATGCCTATGCTGCTGTTTGACGCGTGAAGGGTTCGCATTTTAATTAGCGCCTTTCAATTATTAACGAATGCGAGTAATTTCGCGTAAAATAGGTGGGCGCGATCGAAGGACCGGAAAATAGCTAGTTCCAGAGCATCCGTGGAAATACTAGTATGTAATCGGTTTACAATTACAGTAAATCGCGTTTATAATATAATACTTAAAAGGGAAACGGAACTTAACTATTTATTGTAATTAAATCATATCGAAGATGAAAGAGAAAGCTCCAATAGTAAAAAATAGGATAATTGAGGAAATCCAAATCACTTTTGATCAAATTAGAGAATATACGTTTCGATAATATTTCCACAAGCGACATTGATGATGATAAATTTTATGAAACAAAGAAAAAAGAAAAGCAAAATCAGTTTTTCGTTTTCCTCTATTTTAATCATTTCTATTTTACTTCTTGTCGCGCTTTCGAAAATAAATAAAATGAAAAGAAAATGTATCGTGTGCGTGTTCGTGTTGCGCACCTGGGGTTCCCATACCTCAATGTGGTTGTTACGGTTGTAGTGTAGGTTCAGCACCCGATAAATTTCGGAATCACCTCCTACTCGAAGGTCTTCAGCGTTTTTTACGCCTTCCGAAACCGCTTGTCTCGCGTACTTCTCCATTTGAATATAGTAGAACTCCCTGGAATCAAAAGGTAAACGGGTTCGATTTAATAACAAGATCTAAATTTTCATCTTATTCATTAATTCAAGACATCGATGAAGAACGAAACGTGAGAATGTTGTTAAGTTTTGGTCTCAGTGTTAACACTATACCGACCGCTGGTTTATTAAAAGGTTTTTTTGTCGCTAACATTTACCGGACAAAAGCCTATTAATAAGCTTTTGGTGATGAACAATCATTATCATTATATGAACAGTAATATGTTAGTAGAATCTGCGTGTGTGTTCTGTTGAAACATTGGCGGTCGATAAAGTGTTATACATATCTTGACTAATCAAATGGGTAATATCAAATAAATTTGCAAAGAAGATTAACTGCCTAGATTGGTGGAAGAGTAGGTGCGAAAGAGGATCGGAAATTATGTCGAGTTCTATTCGACGACGATCATCTTGCCGACGCTTAACTTCGACTTTCGTGGTACAGAGTATGCTAATACGTCGCCGATAATTAATTAAGGATCGATACTAAAAGTAGTCTGACGCAAGCTATGGAGGTAAGTGTGGAAGATGGGTTGACAAACGAGGAGGAGGAGGAGGAGAAGGAAAAGGAGGAGGAGGAGGAGGAGGAGAAGGAGGAGGAGAAGAAGGAGAAAAAGAAGGGGAAAAAGTTGCAAAGCGGTGCGCGCAGCTCCTCGTCGACTGGCAAGCGACACGGTTCAAAGAGACTATTAAGAACGCGTTACGGCGTATCGTCCAAGAAAGCACGACACTCTCTCTTTCTCTCTCTCTCTCTCTCTCTCTCTCGCATATACACCGACATACAACACACGCACGTACACATATACAAAGACAAATGACATACACATTCGAAAACTCCTTCCTCAGTGGTAGCTCTCCGTTCTTTCTTCCCAAGTTCGTCGGGTTTATATGGAAGAGAAAAATTAAGCGCTGGCAAGTTTAATGTTTACGTTCATTAATTAACTCGGTTAAACAAACATAAGTCACTAATTGGTGGGTAATTAGTATAGTAATAGTGACCCGAGCGTTCTCTCGCTCGCGATGCACAGTCCGGATGCGAAGGGTGCCTTCTCTTTTTCTCTTTCTCATTTCGTAATCACACAGTCGACTCTCTCTTTCTCTCTCTCTCTCTCTTGCGGTGGTGAAAGAAAGAAATTAAAACGATAGGTGCTAAGGGAAAATTTATCTTTGAAGCTCCGACGAAAGCACTCTCTCATTCGCGCCTACTTTGCTTTCCTCTTTGTCCGAAAGATCAGAAATTTTGTCTGCTTGCTTCTGACGACTACGAGGACGAGGACAACGACGACGACGACGACGACGACGACGGTGGTGGCGGTGGTGATGGCAACGACGACGACGACGACGACGACGACGACGACGACCACGACGACGACGACGACGTAGTACTTCTCATTAAACGCTACGAGAGTTCCATTATTATTTCCGTGGGTAGTAATGCGCACTTTAGAAAATCCGCGGCGACGCGAAGCTTAACCGTACGAGAATATATTTTTAATATTTCATCGTTTCAAAGACGTTTTCTTAAGGGCCGGCCTACTTCCGCGGACAAAGAGAAAAAGCCCGACTTGCTTCGCACATTTACGAAAAAGAACGTGACAGAGAATTTCCTTTTTTTTTCTTTCTTTAGCTTTATGCAAATGGAATATCAAACTTTAGCGTTAGGTAAGATGATTAAGTTTAATTACACGTTTATTGCAAGTTTTTCCATTGTAATTCGATTAAATGCATTTTATCACGTTATATAATATAATATTATTAACCAATTAATACATATCTATACGTACGTTTCTCTAATTATGTAATTCAATAGAAAAATCGTAATCAGAGTATAAGAATAAGGATAGATGCGTTTTCTAAATATCTCTTGTGATTATTTTCCGCTGAAATATTTTCAGTATTGCTCGAGAAATAAGTCGAGCGAGGAAGCGAAAAGTGAGCGAATAACTTGGCATTGTAAGGGAACGTGCTAGGCTTAGGCATCGTTAACTTGTACGAAGCATTTTCATTCTTTCGTGAAGCTTTTCCTCCTCTTTCCTCGACCTACTCCTCAAGTCTATAAAAGAGAAGTCGTATTCTCGCGGGAAGTATCGTTTACGATGCCGGTAAGAGTAGCAGTCGGGTTGATCTTGCAATTCGGATCTCTCGAGGGAATGCAAAGAAACACGCTTCACCGAGAATCCGTCGAGTCGTTCTTGTAAATCGCGACCCATCGACACGACACGACACGACACGACACGATACGACTTGACTTGATTCGAGTCATCCCCTACTACCACCACCTCCTCTTCCATAAATACTCTCGACAATACGATACAGACTCGCGAATCCTTGGTCTCTTCTTCGTATCGTTCGATCGTCGTTGTTGCCATTGGGAGCAATTTTTAAGATTGCTTCCAACGAGACACGATCGAAGGTGGTAACAAATAAATAAAAAAAAAGAAATTTATCGGGGCCAGCGCGTATTCCTCTTAAACTTCATTTTTCTTTCATTTGTGTAAATACAACGTCTTTTAAGAACAGAGTAAGATCTATATATATAAATGAATCGAATGAAACACGCGAGTATCAATCGAAGAAGAACAATGACGGTTGGAACTTGAGATACAGCAGATATCGTGTACTCAGAGATATCTGCAGGATGAAGAAAAAAAGGTGAATATAAACGAGAAGCACTCTTCTTTCGATCGTTTCAGATTGGCTCTCCCGCCAATTAAGACAATTTCGCGTGCTCTTATCAGCAGTCAGCCAAGAGAAGGTTGCGCACGAGAGGAGGAGAACTGAAAGAGGAGCGTGACTCTACGAACCGAGTTTTTCTTTCTCTCTTTCTCTTTCTCTTTCTCTTTTTCTTTTTTTTTTTTTTTTTATCTCTCGGCGACGCTCTCCTTCTCGAAACGACGACGGCACCCGTCATCGGTTGGCTCGCCACCCCCGACTTCACTCTCTCTCGGCGATGTACGTGTCACCTGCGTCTATAATCCTTACTCAACCACCCATCAAGTGCATTCAAACTCGTCGTATCGCCGAGTATAGGTAGAAAATATAGTAAGCAGAGTCTCGACTTGCTGGCTTTGTTGGTTAACGTATCGCATCCATCTGGAGTTATGTGCCACGTGGTATAGCACTGCTTCATCTTCGGAACTTGTATATGTTTATATCTATATATATATATGTATATATAAATACACGTTTATATATATATATATATATATGAACATATAGATATAGATATAGATTTATATATATATATATATATATATCCGCGAAGTGCCTAATTAAAACAGACACCCGGAGATAGAGAGAAAACGGAACGAGAGACGAGAGACGAGACTGGTAGCATAATGGGGTGTAAGAGCGTGAGGGAGACGGCGCTAGTTCCGTAGTCGGTTTGACAAAAAGCCCGAGTGCTAGAATTGCCACTCTTCGACCACCAAGTGCAGAGAAGAAGAGCAACCGTCGAACTGAGAGAGAGAGAGAGAGAGAGTGAGAACGCGATGTAGAAAGATAGAGAGAGTGAGAGTGAGAGAGAGAGAGAGAGGAAAGAGCGAGAAGGAGGGCTCGAGGTGGCTTGAGCGAGAGAGAAAGACCGCGAATATGGACCAGAGGGTGAGCTACGGAGTCATTCATTATAGTATTGTATAATTAGGATAATAATAAGCTCTTCAGTGCCTCGGGTTTTCTTGCGCCTCGTTGCAACGGGGCGCCGACGAGAGAACGAACAGCAGAGAGAGATAGAGTAAAACAGAGAAAGATAGATGGAGAAAAATGGGAAAGAAGAAAGAGACAGAGAACAAGAGAGAAAGAGAGAAAGAGAGAGAGAGAGAGAGATAAAGAGAAAAAGAAAGAGAATGATAGGTAGAGAGAGTGAGGAAGGAAAGAAGGAGTCTTCGCGAGGGTGATGATTATTAGCATCTAATTACGAGACGCTTTGCCGTCTCTAAACCGAAACAAGAGAACTCGAACGAAAGAAATAAAAAGAGATGACGACGACGATGAAGTAAAAGAAGAAGAAGTAGAAGAAGTAAAAGAAGAAGAAGAAGAAGTAGTCCTGGACGTTTCAAGATGTCGTATTCTTTCAGGGTTGACACAAAGGAGGAGCCTAATGAGCGTCTTCTCACTGGAAACCGGAGTCATGTTTTTTCAACCCTCACCGTGTTTCTCCTGACTAAGGGGTTGCGTAGTGTATTTAAGAAGCTGCCACGTGGACCATACTTTTTATGTTCGTCATTCGAGATTAGAGTATTACATTTAGCGTATTATTATTAATTATGGGGAACGCGATTGACAATTAAACAACATTATTAACAACTTTTAATTCTTTCGATCGTTTGTTCCTTATCGTTGAGAGAACGCGTAGAAAAAAGAAAGAAAGGAAGAATATGAGTACGGATCACGAATTTGATTATTTTTTCTATCTTTTAACACGAATCTTCCTTGATATCGCGATTTCTTTCTAATTAGACGACCTTCCGTTAGCGTTATGATGTATCCGAGCGTTTAATGGTAATGTCTGTCGATGCGGTACCTTCAACAGCGATCTCCATCGCTACAAGTTGCCATTTCGACGCGCCGCTTTTGTAACACGGGCGTGTACGCCGTATAGGCGAGAGCACCAATTAAAAGGGGGAGCGGCTCTAGCACTCGCCTGTTTTTTTTTTCTCTTCCTGCCTCCTTCTCTCTCTCTCTCTCTCTCTCAATCTCTCTCTCATTCTCTTGCCACTTTGTAGACAGTCTACCGATTCGAAATAAGCAACGCTTTCGTGCATTTCGATAGCCAAAATCACGTTGGTAAAGTACGACGAAAGGGTGTAGAAGATTTCGCAAACGTTGTCGTCGACTGTGTTTTGTCTTGTACCACCTTGAAAATCTCGTAAAGTGACTTTGAGAGGACGATGGGATAGGGTGAAACGAGTGCGTCTTCTCGTCTTACCGAGTCTCCTCCTCCTTTTTCTTTCTTTGAGTTCCTTTCATTCAGTGGATCTT